TACTAACTTTTGAACCCCTTGTCTGATTTGTGCCATTTTTGAATATGTTGTTCCCTGAATGGATTGATTGTGAATATGTAATTTTATGTGAATGTGATGTATGGTTTTGGAGTTATGAAAGTTGGGTAGAAAGTATGTTTTAACTGTATGTATAATTGAGTTTCCTCTCAGGATAAGGGGAGGGAATATGTGGGATGTAACTGATGTGATTGGTTGTTTTGTAACGCCCTGTGGGCTGTACTATGTTTGTGGATTGGGAATAAAAGAGACTGTATGTGACAGTACAGAGAGTTCCTGTTTTAACCCTCAAAGTGAAGTGTCGCCTCATTATTGGGGGAAGGATTTATTGTATGCTGTTCCAGTTTGACTGCTAGGAGAGTAAACCTATTCGTATGGTTCCTATTCAACTGTCTACAGCATTCACATGCTTGAGAGCATTCATATGCTCCCATGGTTCGGTGGTTTGGTGTCTGCTGCAGTGCTTGGAGTCCTCAGGAAGCGCTAGGAGCATCCTTCAACGGAGGTACCCAGTCGGGGTGCCAGGCGATCCGTTACATTGGTGGCAAGCGGTGGGATGGCGTCCTAGTGCGAGGTAAAGCAGCTCAGAGACACAGTTCGTTTGGATTTACAAATTGAAGGCGACGCTAGTGTTTATACAGCTTCCCTGTCTACATAAAGATTTGGGAAAATGGGGTTCGTGGATCCTTGGGCAACACGCACACCTGAGGAAGAGAGTGAATTGGAATGGAGAGATATTGCCCGGCAAGAACTATGGTACGATGCCCCGGAGGAAGTCCAGTATCAACGGCAGCAGCGCCTTCCTGGTGTCGCATACCGGTTGGAGGAACAAATGGCCTGGCGGATGCCACTTCTGGGAGACCAACCCGGAGGGCAGCAGGTCAGACAACTTGAGTACCTCGTGGAAAGGGAACTGAGCCTTGACGCCTCATACCGGGCACTGTGGTGGTGCACTGTCCAGCCAGAGACATGGAGGGCAGAGGGCATCCAGCCGGAGGGGGAGAACTACACTAGCCCTGGCCTGTTGTGGAAGGCCTTAGCAGAAGACGTCGACTTTGGCAGTCCAGCAGAGTCACGGTACTGGGCTATTTTTTATTACCGGGGTGAGATGGTACAGGGCCCGAGATCTATGGGACTGGGACAAGACCTCCACCGTTTGGCTGCCATGGAACGACAGCTAGAGATGGACTATGTGGAACTACTAAACTCATGTCAGCCACAGGGCATAGACACAGAACAGGAAAACTGGCTGGGAGACCCAGACCTGCCAACCTACAGCTGGGAAAACGCAGCCGAGGTACCCCCTGCTTCACTACCAGCGGCAGAAGTAGGGGACCTCATAGACTGGTCCTGGGAAGACCCACAGATGGCAGGTGGAGATGGGATGGCGGTCTCTCTACCGGCCCTAAAGGGATGCTGGGCGGTCGGCCCAGATCTCCAGCGGCAGTGTGTACCCCAGGGAGCAGAAGGTGCAGTCCTTCCTCCCCAGCGGCAGTGTGTCCTACAGGAAGCGGAGACAGTCGGTCTCGCTCCCCAGCAGCAGGGCAATATATTAAAAGGGGAGACAGTTGGTCCCCCTCTCCAACAGCAGAGAGAGTGTCAGGGAGAGGAGCTTGTTATCCCCTCTCCCCAGCGGCTGAAAGTATGTATGGGAGAGGAGCTTGTTACCCCCCCTCCCCAGCGGCAGCGTGTACCCCAGGGAGATGAAGGTGCCGTCCTTCCTCCCCAGCGGCAATGTGTACCCCAGGAAGCAGAGACCATCTGTCTCGCACCCCAGCCGCAGGACAAAATATTGAAAGGGGAGACAGTTGGTCCCCCTCTCCACCAGCAAAGAGAGTGTCAGGGAGAGGAGCAGGTTACCCCCTCTCCCCAGCGGCAGTCTACAGTTCAGAGAGAGGAGCTTGTTACACCCTCTCTCCAGCGGCAGCCTAACCCACCAAGGGGAGATGTTAAGCCCCACAACTATGCAGATGGGACCGTAGTCTCTGCACTTGCAGCCCCAGGGGCAGGGACGGTCGGTCCTGTCCCCCAGCCACAGAGCAGTGTATCCAGAGGGGAGACAGTCGGTCTCCCCCTCCCCCAACCAGGCTCCAACCAGGCTACTTCAGTGGTAGCGCTGGCACCCGGGCAGAGTACCGCTGGTCTCTGCCCACTCAGCAACCCACCAAGGCAGTCTACCAGCCCCCCGCACAGCTGTGGTGAGGCACCTGGACATGGACAAGTTGCTATTTTATCCAGGTGTAGTAACCAGTTATTGTGGGTGGGCTGTATTGCTGTTTGTGCTTCGTGGGTGGGTTGCTGGACTAACCAGGGCACTGACCGGCAGGAGGTCAGATACCCTGTTAGTTTGGATGGTAAAGGGGAGAAATGTGGCGAAACCGGCCTCGCCACGTGTCCTTGGAGGGGGCTGCTTGCCCGCCTCTTGCCTTTGGACTATGGACCAGACTTTATGTGAATGTGTTATACCCCAGATAGGAATCCCATGGAGCCCATTCGTATGAAACTGACTGTAAAGACTTTGGCTCCATGGCGATTAAACTGTATTTGTGTGGTCCGAGCGCCATTCACTTAATAATGTGCGCTCAGACCTGAGCTATCTGGGGATATGTGAAATGTCTGTGTGTTATGTGTAAAATGTGACTTTATGTATTTTAAAGTGTTTTGTGTCTTTTTGCAACCATGTGCTTAATGGAGTCTTGTGTCTGTCCTGGGAGATAATTGAATTACTTATCTCCAGGATAGAAGACTCTGAAACTGGTTTGGGCCAGAAAGCCATGCTTCATTTAGTCACAAAGGACTTTTTACTAACTTTTGAACCCCTTGTCTGATTTGTGCCATTTTTGAATATGTTGTTCCCCTGAATGGATTGATTGTGAATATGTAATTTTATGTGAATGTGATGTATGGTTTTAAAGTTATGAAAGTTGAGTAGAAAGTATGTTTTAACTGTATGTGTAATTGAGTTTCCTCTCAGGATAAGGGGAGGGAATATGTGGGATGTAACTGATATGTGATTGGTTGTTTTATACCTCCCCGTGGGCGGTCCTGTATGTGAAAGACTGTGTAATAAAACCAGGCTGGGTGTGCCAGCAATCTGAGTTCCTGTTTAACCCCTCAAAGTGAAGTGTCGCTCATTATTGGGGGAAGGATTTATTGTATGCTGTTCCAGTTTGACTGCTAGGAGAGTAAACCTATTCGTATGGTTCCTATTCAACTGTCTACAGCATTCACATGCTTGAGAGCATTCATATGCTCCTACGGTTCGGTGGTTTTAGTGTCTGCTGCAGTGCTTGGAGTCCTCAGGAAGTGCTAGGAGCATCCTTTAACGGAGGTACCCAGTCGGGGTTCCAGGCGATCCGTTACAGAGATGCTATAATCGCTGGCATGAAAGCCGGAGGGAAGAAAGCTATCAACATGTCGAAGACAGTTGAGGTGATTCAGAAAAGTGATGAAGCGCCCAGTGTCTTTTATGACCGATTATTGGAGGCATACCGCTTGTATACCCCCTTTAATCCGGAAGACGCTGATAATTCCCGAATGGTAAACTCCGCCTTTGTCAGCCAAGCTTACTGAGATATTAAGCGCAAGCTACAGAAATTAGAAGGGTTTGCAGGTATGTCTATCACCCAACTAATGGAGGTAGCGAACAAAGTACATATGAATAGGGAAACAGAAAGTAAGAAAGAGGAAGAGCGCAAGATGCGTAGAAAGGCAGATATGCTAGCGGTAGCGATCGCAGGCGTAGATAGACGGGGCCCAGATAGAGGCGATGGCAGATGGAATAGGGAGCCTTTGAGTAGGAATCAGTGCGCGTACTGCAAGGAAGAAGGGCATTGGAGGAACGAGTGTCCGCAAAGAGAGCAGTATGAGAGAGACTTACCCAGGGCAGGTTACGGAAACTTTAGAGGCAGAGCGAGAGGTAGAGGAGGCCCCGGAGGGAGTAATGGTAATAGAGGGAGTAATGGTAATAGAGGGAGTAATGGTAATAGAGGGAGTAATGGGAACAGAGGAAGTGTAAGGGAAGATAGGTACTATCCAGCAGCGCAAAGGTCCCGCGATAGAGAAGGTAGGGACTTTGTGGGATTGGCTGACACGGTCATGGAGGACTATTGATATCGACCGGGCTCCATCCCCCTTGGTCGAGCGGAGCCTATGGTCGATGTATCAATAGGGGGAAAAAGGAGTGCGTTTATGATCGACACTGGTGCTGAACATTCGGTGGTGACTAATCAAGTTGCTCCTCCATCTGGAAGAACTATTACTGTAATAGGAGCAACTGGAAGAAGTGCTGAAAAACCGGTTCTTAAAAGTCGACTCCGTACATTGGGAGGCCACGTAGTAAAACATCAATTCCTTTATATGCCTGAGTGTCCAGTCCAATTGCTGGGACGTGATATGCTATCCAAATTACAAGCGCAGATTACGCTCCTACCAAATGGAACAACATCCTTAAAGTTTAATGGACCCTCAGGTATTATGACATTGTCCGTACCAAAGGAAGAAGAGTGGCGACTTTATACAGTGTTGACTAGCCAAAACCCGAGGAGTGATGAATCCTTATTTAACATACCAGGAGTTTGGGCAGAGAACAACCCACCAGGACTGGCCCGCATTATTCCACCTATTAAAATCGAACTAAAACTTGGGGTTTATCCAGTAAGCCTGAGACAATATCATATTCCGCAGAAGGCTAAGAAGAACATCCAATCTTATCTGGATAAGTTCATACGGTATGGTATCCTAAAATTCTGTACTTCCCCTGGAACACCCCATTGCTGCCTGTTCAAAAGCCCGGTACAGATGAGTATCGACCTGTGCAGGACTTGAGAGCAGTCAATGATGCGGTTGTTAGTATACATCCAGTCGTGCCCAATCCATATAA